AAAATATAATATCAAATATTACAACAATTGTAATAAAACATTGAACACTAATTTGATTCTTTATTAAAAAAAAAAAAGAAAAGAAAGGGAAGATGCTACGGACTGGAATCATTCCATCTGAGTTTGCAACCGTTAGATGAACTATCTTCTAATAGTTACATGTTGATCTAACGATTACAAATCTCGACAGAATGGTTCCGTAACGGGACCTCAACATTTCTCGAAAGAAAGAAAGAAAGAAAGAACAATTGTGTATATACCTGAAGGAAACTAGAGACCATGTTAGGCCAATCAAGCTGGAATAAGTGTTTGGATTTCGAATTAACTTCCTCCAAACCATGATGAGAATAAGCCTCGTCATCACACTCGCCGGAGGCATCACTTTGGCTTTGTTTTCGTCCGGTTTTTCTCCGCCTTCGATTTCCCCTTCACCACCGCCGGCGCCTCTGTTTGCAAAGCTGAATTCATCTCTCTCCAAGTACCCTTCTTGATTCTCTCTGTGTCTCTCCACTTTCACATATCAAGAAAATTATAACCAAAGTGAATAACAATATTAAGAATTGATGAGAATAAGAATGTAATAAAATAAAATCGAATACCTTTGGTGGGAGAAAGAGGAACTCTAGGCTCTTTCCCACTGACCACATTATTATTATTATTGTTATTGTTATAATCACGGCCGCCACCGAACACGTCCGAGACAGGGGACGCGCTCGAGCTCCAAACAAACATATGGAGATCTTTGTTCCCGGCGGTCGCCGGAATGTTGGGCCGCGGCGGCCTCTCGTCTTCGAAGTTGGAGGGCCGTGGCGTGGGCCCTCTCGACCCGTCGGCCGGACCGAAGTTGGAGGCCCTCCCCCCCATCATGGAGTAGAAGTCGGCGTGGTTGAAGCTCGAGCCGCGGGGGGTGGGGCCCCTCGACGACTGGAGGGAGTAGATCTCGGCGTTGGTGAGGCCGGACGCGCGCGGCGGAGCGTCGGGCGGCGCGGCGCCGGACCGGCGCGAGAAGATGTCGGAGCGGGAGGCGCTGGAGCGGCGGACGGTGACGCGGAGGCGGCCGTCGGCAGCGACCTCGGCCTGGGTCTCGAGGGGGTGGCGGCCGTCGAGGGAGACGACGTCGGAGTCGACGCGGATGGAGACGATGGAGGCGGCGGCGGCGGCGGGGAACTGGTCGGAGATGAGGAGGCGGGCGGCGCGGAACTCGAAGAGGAAGAGCATGAGGGTGTACCAGATGATGCACTGGAGGACGACGATCTGGACCATGAGGCTGCCGGAGAAGTCGCCGTACATGCCTTTGAGGAGGGGGATGCCCATGACGAGGGTGTTGGGGAGGGTGGAGAGGGAGAAGAGGGTGATGGTCCAGTCGAGGCCGCCGCGGCCGCGGGAGGAGAGGCGGGACCAGAGGGCGAGGGCGGCTAGGACGGCGAGCTTCTGGAGGGTGTCGGCGGCGATGAAGCGGAAGTTCATGGCGTAGGGGTCGTTGGAGGCGATGAAGTGGAAGGAGAGGAGGGGGACGGCGAACAGGGCCACGAACCGGTTGATGCCGGAGCACTGGTCGGGTGTGAAGATCCGCCACCACTTCACCGACCCGTAGGCGAGGATCATCGCCACGTACAGCGGCACAACCGCCGTCATCACGTGGTAGAAATCCGATGATGTTATCATTTTTTAGCTTCTTTTTTTTTGAGGAACAAATTAAATCAGTAGTATGTAGGAGTTTGAGAGCGGCATGCGTAGTGGTGTACTGTGTAGTGTGTATTAGTAGTGATATAGTGTGTTTTAAATTTAAATATTAAGAAACGGGATTTTTTTTTTTTTTTTTGAGTTGCAGGAGCAAGTTTGCAGTTTGCAGTCCCCAAAGCAAAGAGTGGGTTTTTTTTTTTTTTTTTTGAAGGGAAGAAAATAAAAAATTGCTAGATTTTCTAATTATATATGGATTGCTTTTGTTATGTTATGGTTTGTTTTGAGGTGTGTTTGGACTTGTAAAGGATATGTGTGTGTGTGTGAGAGAGAGAGAGAGAGATTGATAATGATGATGATGAGTTGGGGGCGTGGGCGTGGGCTCTGAAAAGTTTGGGGAAAGGAAATTTTGGTCGGGGATGGTATGTTAAGTACTTGTTTTGGTAGATAAGGTTCAACATTTGGAATTTTTTACCTTTTTTTTTTATTTTTTTAATTTACCTTTTTTCTCGGGTATGCTCGTGGGCTATTGATGGGCTATGGCCTCTAAGCATATGGACTATTGTATAATTTGAGAGAAAATAACATTTTTTTTTTTTTTTTTTTTGGAAACAATGAAATTGAATAACAACTAGTAAAGTTATAGTTAAAGATAATTGTTTAGGTCTAGTGTTGGGAGGATTGGAGGAAATTTCTCTCCTTATCAACTTTTTTTTTTCTATGTAACTATAAAAATTTATAAATAAAGCACATAATTACAAATATAATCTTAATCAGTAGATGAATCTAGCAGGAGGACACCTCAGAAACAAGCATAAACACCACAACGCACTCACCTAACTCCAACAGGAATATATATATGGAAAGGATAATAACACCAAAAAAATAAATAAATAAAATAAAATAAAATACAAAGAAACACATAAAAACACACTCAAACACAAACACTAAACCCATAGACTAAAGCCCTTCTCACAATCGGACAACCGCACCAAGCGAAACTCGACAGCAACACAACGATCGTAACAGACCAGACCACGATCCAAATTTCAGACCCAAAAACTACAACACACTCCTAGCTGAAGTCGAAACCCAAGATCCCGATGCCATGCCCAGGCAACCGACCACCAAATAGACCACACCACGACCCAAATTTTAGATCCAGAAACTGCAACACACTCCTAGCTGGAGCAGAAACCCAAGACCCCGACCCCATGCCCAGGTGACCGACCACCAAATAGACCAGACCACGACCCAAATTTCAGATCCAAAAATTGCAACACACTCCTAGTTGGAGCCGAAACCCAAGACCCCGACCCCATGGCCAGACGACCGGCCACCAAACAGGCCAGACCACGACCCAAATTTTAGATCCAGAAACTGCAACACACTCCTAGCTGGAGCCGAAACCCGAGACCCCGACCCCACTCCCAGGCGACCGACCCCAACCCATAGCCGGAGGATAGCCGAACAACACTCACACCACACTTCCGCCGCCCCGATCCCAGCCCACACCACAGGCTAGGTCCCGTCACGCCGGTCGTCCCCTAATCCCTAACACCATGAGAGAAGAGTACAAGAGAAGATGCCCGCTAACCTCCATCCCGACCACCGATGATCGGCATTCAAAACCACTACGACTCCCCTTCCCCCCC